TCAATCTTTGCTTAAACTTGGGTGCTCGCACACAAGTAATTGAATTTGATTTTTGAGTCTAAAATTTACTATAATAAAATGTGTTGTTTTTAAATATCCTTTTGCACTGTAGAGTTTAATAGTTTCCTTTAAACATGAATAAAAAAAATAAAAATAAAATAGAGTTATCAAGCAAAATGTTTAAGGTAAAATTGGACGGCAATGTGAAGCTTTTGAATTTCGCTGAAAAGCTAGAAACATCTTGTATTGGCATCATGGAGTCTGGAGAGATGATCAAGGATCTTGCCCTTATTATCCACAGATCCGAGTGACCATTGCATTGTTTTCTCAGTCTATGGTCATAAAAGTCGTCCTACTCTTTTTCCTAAACAAGTGGAAGAAAGTATCTCGTTATGCTCTATGCACTCTTTCATAATGTTACATGCTTGGCTGAGATAAAAATCTCAACACTAAAAACAGGGGCGGAGCCAGGATTTATGTTCAGTGCGGGCATCATTTTTCGACGCCGAATTTCGAGGTTTTGGTCATAGATTTAATGATGATAAAAAAATAAAACAATACTAGAACAATACTAAAAAGACATAATTTATATATTAAATTTGTTCTTTGCGAGTTTTCATATTTTGATATCGTCGTACAATAACTTCATTATCAAGTTTCAAAAATATATCTTTCTCTACATAAATAATTGTGCTATCATTCATCCACTGATCACCCATCCGATTGCGCAATCTATCCTTTACAATACTCATTGCAGAAAAGACTCTCTCCACAGTAGCGGTAGCAACCGGTAAAATCAATGCCAAAGTCAAAAGTCTGTAAACCAAAGGATAAACCCTATCTTTCTTTTTCAGAACTAACTTCTTCGCAAGATCACCAAGATCATTCAACCCTTCAAACTCTTTGTTAGAAAGCATGTCAAAAATATAAGTCTCAAGCTGATCGTTCAGTACAATGACATCCATTGAAGAGAAATCTAATGGATAAAACTCAGCAAATCTAATCAAGCTTTTCTTGTCAAAAGAAGAAAATGAATCTTGAGGACATAAACAAGGAGTAACTCTGTATTTACCTCCGAGAAACGATCATTCAATTCTTGAAGTTGTAAATCGATGACAGAATAGAACAAATCTACTCGGTAATGATGTAAATTTGTAATTTCTGGAGAATTACGCTGAGGGCGACCACGAAGTGCAAGGCGTACAAACATATCATCCATGTTGGGTACATGAATGTAATGTTGTTGACAAAAAGAACATACTTCTTCAAAAAAGGAGTCCCACCCTTCGTCTCTCATTATTTGGAGTCGTTGTTTGCACAATCTCACCAATTGCATTGCATTCACAATATCTTGATCTTTCCTTTGCAATGCCTTTGACAGTTCATTTGACATCCCCAAGACACTTCTCATCAACTGTAGATTAAATGCAAAATCAAATTTTTGTATCAACTCCAATAAATTTGTTGCATCAGATCTTTGATCACAAGAACAAGATTCATCTTTAACAATCGTTGCAAGTACATCTAAAACAGAAGAGAACATGGCAAGCAAGCTGACCAAAGAATTATAATGTGAACTCCATCGTGTATCACCAGAGCGCTGAAGGGTCGTTTCTTGATTAAGTCCCCGTCCACTTAAAATCTCACCTTTTTCCAATGCCTCAACAATAAAGTCTAACGGTTTTTCTCGAAGAAGATCACAACGTTTGGAAGATGCTCCAACAATATTTATCACGTCCCCAACCACACGAAAGAAGTTAGTAATAGGGATGTTCTTCTTTACCACAGTCACAAGTGCAAGTTGGAGTTGATGAGCAAAACAGTGAATGTAAAAGGCACATGGACTCTCCTTCAAAATTAGTGTTTTCAGAC